TGAAAACAGGGCTCCTGGTATTGACACCTTATCAAATATGCCCTTTCCATAATTCTGCAGCTATATCTTTCTGTGAAAACCAGGGCTTGCTCCACAGACCCTCTTACATGAAGCACTGCAGCCAAAGGTTTTGTCTACCAGCCAGGCTCGAATTCCCAAGTGGGCAATCTCTGTGGGAAGGGTCTGGTATGGTTAGCAAATACATTCCTTCAGTGTATGTCAAAACACAGTCTGCTGCCATCTCAGCTCTTCCTGCATCCCTGCAAGATACTCATCCATGTAGGTGTCAAAGCACATTACAAACAGAAGCAGGAGCTGCAGCCTTACTTTCTGTACCATGGCAGGAATGGGTATCATTTTCAATGCCAGATTTAACATGATATTTTCTTGGCATGGAAGATCCCACCCAGATCCTTGTGCACAGAAAAAGCTTTAAAAAGCTAAAACATCTTTGAATATAAAAGATTTGCTGAGAACTATTTCAGCCCTTAATCGAGGTATCTGGGTTGGGCTTGGTGCCTTCTGCAACAGAGGAGAATCTGTGTATTTTTGAAATGAAACAGGAGAGTACCCAGTGGAGTTTCATCCATTTGCATTGTCTCAGCAGTCCCATGATAATGGGGACATAGATGGTGGGAGATCGCACTATGAAGTCAAATTACAAGCACAAAACAATAGTCAGTGTAAAGCTCTGTGGACAGTGCTAGGACAGACTCCTCGTGGAGACCTTGCAAGGGGTTGGAGAAGAGAGCGCAATGCCAGGACACAGCTGATGAAAGGAGGCCTGGAAAACAACCACTATGAATGACAAGTGCAGAGGATTTCACAGGCAGCTTGGTGCTGAGCGTATTTAGGTGCTCTTGCAAATCCCAGCCAAAGCAATACACCTCCCGAAGCACCAAGAGACAAAACACAAGCTATAAGAGAAGATGGAATTTAAAATCCCTTAGCTAGTCCTTAGGATAAAGGAGATTTTCTATCACAGAAAGCTATCAGCCTGAACAGATGCCCCTCCAGAAGATGCGAATACATCTCACTGACAGCATCCAAAGGTTCAGCTGCAGAGCCAGTTCTGCACATGGAAAGATACTTTATTTTTGTCTCTCCATGACTACTGGAAGACCATATGATGTGTGCTGACTCAGCACAGCCACATGAGAACTCCTTTGTACTTGTGTGTTTCTTAGCATCATTTTAATTAACATGCTGGTGTCCTCCTCCTTTAGCTTCAACCCTTCTCTTTTCTTTTGACACCTGCCCAGCCATGCTGAGCAGCCTCTCTTGTCACTATACTACAGAGGTACAAGCTCTCCCTTCTCCCATTAGCAGTGATGTGTCACTGGCACATCCTTAATGGCAATTCCCTTGGCAATAAAACATCCAGCGCCAAGGGTGAGAAAGAAGAATAATCCTGCTCAATTTTTTTAAGACTCCTCAGTCCAACCATCTCAGTAGACCCTTCTCTTCTCTGTGTCTCTGTCCTAAATGAGAGTCCAGAAAGCATCTTTCCCACCCCTTCTTCTGAAAGTCAGTTAAACAGAAACTAGCACAACTCACCATGTACGTAAACAGGCTGTTTTCATACCAGTTGCTCAAGCTATTACTAATATTCCACCAGCCACACATTTATCTCCTAGAAGCCCACGGCAAAATTCCCTGCCATTTCAAAGGGTGCAGGATTTTGCATTCCAGGCAGACAGCGAACATTTTTGAGTGCCACTTTTTAATGGGGCACAGATTTCTGCTGAGGTTTGGCTAGTCTGCACCAGCTGAAATGTAACTGTGTAAAAAATCAGCTGCAGAAGCAGCCAAAAGCCACAAAACCAGCCAAAGCAGGAGCAAAATGGCAGAAAACTGTATAAAGGTCTGTAAGAACAGCTGCAAAAGCAGCTAAAGCAGGGGTAAAATGGTGAAAAAGGATAAAAACACGGGTCCTTCCTTTCTGATCCACAAGTTTGGAGGAAGAAAAATACCTCTGGAAGTGAGATCTCAGCTGTGCCTCCCTGGGAAAACAGGAGGTAATAAATCCGCACAGGTATTAGCTTTTTCCTTCCCTCATTGTTGAATGGAAACCTTTTTAGAGCACCATAGCCACAAACCAAACCTATGGGAACCTCCTTGGTTCCCATCCTGCCTCATCCATGCCATGCAGAGCCACCCATCCCCTAGGACAGAGCCACCTGTCCCTGGGGCACACAAGGTTTGGGGACAGCCAGAGGGGATTTCAGCCCATTTCAACTCAGCTGCTTTTCCCTCTTTCACCCACTGGGACCTCCCCTCTGTGCACTTACTCAGGCCTGTTGCATTCTCGTATCGCCGTCTTTATGCCACCCCCACAGGTTCTTGAGCAGGTCCCAAAAGGGCTCCAGGTCCCCCATGCTCCATCTATCACCAGTGCCTCTCGCTCCTTGGGCACACACATCCCAAACCGGCAATGCTGTGTAAGGAGAGAGATGGGAAAGGTGAGTTTGCATTGCTATTGCACTATGAGCTGACCAACAGTGACCAGCCTGGACAAGACTCAGCCTCACTTATGTCTCAACCACATGCAAAGATTTTGCAACCAAATAAAACTGAACTTTATATTTTGTCTGTCACCCCCATATTTTTCTTTCTCTGCACCCTTAAATGGCAAAACAAAGGCAAGGTGCTGAGTCCATGGAATGAATGATTTATGGGATAAAGACTGAGGACAACAGCAACCACGGAATATTCCCTGGTGCCAAACAGCATGGCAATACTTGCAGCACTGGCTTTTCAAAAGACTGCTTATCCTGGAGAGCAACAGGAATCACACCATGTCAAGGGAGGGAGGAGTACCACAAAAAAACTCAAACCTCCCCATAGCTGTACAAAGCAGGAAAGGAAACTTCCAAATCCAAAAGTTAAAACAGAAAAATCAATTCCTCAATCTGAAGTAATTTTTTTTCACTCGATCATAACATGGGGCTTGCCAAGGCCTGACCTAACACTTTGGTTTTCCAGCTATAGCTTGTTTTCGTTTGTTTGGAAAACTGGCCTAAGTTACATTGACAAGCTCTCATCTCACCTTTTCATGGTATAAATGGTGTCCCTTTGGGATATGTTTGCTAGTTTGGTTATACCGACTCTAGGAAAGCTCTAGGAGAGAGAGTAGTCTTCTGGCCCCACCAGAGTAGATGGAAAGGTGTCCAATAGACCCATGAGAGCAGGGCTTCCCTCTCACTGAACAGCACTTGCTACACTGTGTTTAAACGCAGAGACATGCTCGTCTGTGGGGAGATGCCTAAATCTTTGCAATTATAGGAAGCCCAAACATTGCTGATTGCTCACAGATTAGAAGAGGCTACAGACTCACAGAAGAATACAGGTAGAGCATCATTAAAATTTTCCGTGGCAATGTTTCTCTGCACCAGGTGCTGTCAGGCAGGGAAACACCTGATGATCCTTATGGGAACAGGGTTGAATTTACCGATGTTCTGCATTTTTCCAGCCCTTCCACTAATAGTGCAACAAGGATCAAGACACACCATGACCTCATGCCCCTTTCTTAAGACATCCTGATGAACCACATTAGGTAAAGCTATCTAAGAAAACAGAACAACATCAAGCTGTCATGGGACTGTACATCCAGCCTATAGGACACTTGGCCCACGTTGAACACTTTTTGTCCAACTTGTATTTCCATGCTGATGAAGGAAGCTGATCTCGGGTGCGTTTGCCCATGGGCAAGGTTTGCAGGACAGATGAAGAACTCACAGCTTGGATCCTACATGTGGTGTTTGCTCAAAGATGAGCATGGTCTTTAGGGTGCAATATGCCCTAGATTTGCTTTCATCTGAAGGTTTGATTCCCCAGATAAAAAAATGGCTAAAACCCATCTGTCACAGTAAAGGACAGCAATAAAATCATGACTGTTTCTTTGCTGCAGGACAAACCCTTATGGTGCATAACTCCTGGCATTTAGAAGTTGAAAACCTGAAGGTTGGGGACTCCTGTGCCAGCCCTGTACAGGGACAAAGAGGTCTGACAGCTATCATCAACATACAAAAATACATGACACCAATCCAGCAGTGCTGTCCCAGTGGAGAACTTCTCACAGCAGTGTTGATGCTCACAGCTAAATATATAACCAGAGTCATACTTGGCACCACTGACCCAGAGAAGATGACTGAATAGCTAACTAGTGAATGAATGAACACAGCTAACAGACCGTGACATGACCTATATGTCCCTCAATCCCATGGTTGAGAATTAACCAGGAAATCACCTACATCCATTGATTTTATTAAAAACTGGGGGTTTGGAGTTGATGGTAAATCAAAACAGTGGAAAAGAGAGGCTGTTTCAAATAAACAGCAAGATTATCTTAGGGAAACACAATGGTGTTTCCTGGAACCACACTATGAACAGTCTGGCTGAGCAACCTTTGTGCCTTTCCTATTTTAAAAATAATTTCTATGTTGAGTTACAACTGAAAAAGTAAAAATCTTGCCAGGGTCCTCTTTCCTATGAGCTTACAGATCACAGAATGAAGAGAATAAAAGGGGGGTTGTCTGGAGCAAATTCAAAATATCTTAGACACACAGTTGAGCAGGAGAGCAACTGGGATGGGAGACACTACAACAGACTTTCCTTTCCTTTGTCTTGCCACTGGAGTCCCAGATAATTCACCAAATCCAGCTCCCATCCTTAGGCTGACTGGCTGAATAGAGTAGCAGGGGGCAGACAGGGGCTGAGAAGCTCCATGCATGCATAACAGATACCTGCTGCCATACGGCAGGACACAAGTGATTACTATTCGTCTACTCTTCTGTTACCATTCTTTAAACAGCCCTGAAAACCACAAGAGAGAGAGGCCCAAATTTACGACCCTCTTTCTTTTCTTTCAGTGATTTATCTCTGCCTGACAATGCCCTGGTGCTGTGAAACATGGTCAAACCACCACGATGGTGCTCACCCAGCAAAGCCAAACTCTGGGCTGGGCTCATGGCTTGATTTAGCAATATCAAATTCAGTGTCCTCACATGCAAAATATGCACAAGGTAATACTCCCATGTTGATTTAGTGTCCTTGATTTAAGACTAAATTTAGAGCCTGGTTAAATCTACATCCCTGCAGTTTTAGCTAGATTTTTTTTTAGCTATTTAGGCTCCTTCATTTCCAAAGATATCTCCATAAAACATGGCATGGTATTTTCTCCATCTGACAGCCCATATATCACAGGCTTTAAACATGCAGACTTGAGGCATTAGTCAGCAAGCAGCAGCTTGACAGGGGCTCCTGGCCACAGCAGAGTACCAAAATGGCAATTTATTCCAAGGAAAACCACTGCAGACTTGCACCTCAGCACTTTATAAACCCAAGTAAACACCGAAAAGTAGAGTTTATAATCCAAACCTTAAGCTTGAATTAGACCAACCCACAGATACAAGAATGACTCTGTAAAGCCTTTTTGTGAGAACACATTCAAATGCCTGAACATGAGTGGGCTGCATTAGCTTTTCTTAAGAGCCCATCTGCTCTCAGCTGAGCAGTTCAGGTCACACTTGTCTAATTTGTCTAAACTTGTCAAATTGTCTAAATTTGTGGACTGAAATGTTTTTGCTCACACAGTCTTTATTAAGAGCCATGCAGCTGGACACTGCCTCTTGCATGACATGGGGTGACTCTGAGGGGGTGCTAATCTGCTCGACTGCAGTTGTTTGCACATCACTCTGGTCACATCCAAGGGTAAGTGCAGGTTTGTTGGAACAAAACTGCAGCCCGGATTTTTTTTAGAATGTCAAGAAAATAGTTATTTGTGACCTTCCAGCAGTGAGCAGAGCCCAAGGTCCCTATAGAAGTGAGGACACAAACTCTCAAGTCACAGACACTCCACAGATACCTATGCTTTATCCTGTGTCTCAAAACAGGGGAGATTTTACATAGGGACACAAACTCTCAAGTCACAGACACTCCACAGATACCTATGCTTTATCCTGTGTCTCAAAACGGGAGATTTTACATAAAATTATGAAATATTGGTGCACCACTGGCTCCAAGGAGTAGCACAGGAATACAGTTTCCCACCACATCTCTAATGCACATTCTCAACAATAAAAACAAGCAGGTTGACTGCACTTTTCCCTAAGAAAGGAAAGCAAATTGATATATTGCTCTCAAGGAAATCAGTTGAGTGTCATAGAACAACTGAGTTTTCAGACACATGCAACAGAACATTCATTACCAAAAAGAGTTCCACATCCTGTGTGGAAAAATTTAAGTAAAATAGCATCCAGATATTTTAAATAAAATACATTTGAAAGACTATGAATTGAAACTTTGACTCTTTCAAAAGAAAACTTATTAATATTATTAATGCTGATTTTAAGAGCCAGAAAAGCAAAATCCAAGCTATCCCCTGTAGAATAACATCAGACTATTTTTACTAGACCCAGATGGAGAACACTTTTGTTCAGACACAAATTATGAGAACCAGTTAGCATTTTTATTCAAAAGCAGCAGTATCTCAGTAAAAGAAAAAGAAAAATCCTCTCAACTATTTTTCTCCAGATCTGAACAACTGAAAATTAAAAACTTGTTCTAGAAACCACAATGCTAGCTGGAAATTAATACTGCACGTGGAAAATGAAAGATTTTATGAATCACTGCCAAAAATGTTCCATACAGAATATGTCAACCAGTTCTATATTTTACTCTGAAGTTGTCAAGATGAGAAGCCAGTTGACAAGTTTATGTTACACAAAATTACTAATTGCTCACATCACATAGGAGATTTCTGACAAAAGCTTAGGGAAGCTTTGCAAAAGTTTTGCTCGAAGTTCATTCAAGGGCATTAATTTAAAAAGATAAGCACTCCAGAAGAAATACCTGGCTTTACACAATGTTATGCCAAGCAGTCGATTTTAATCACATTATCTGGGCTGGAGATGATCCATTGCACTCCAGGCTTTAAACACACTGAGCTGCTCTGGGCTTCCACCCTTGCAGTCATGACTGTGCACCACACAACTGGCCCTAGGATAGGATGACTTTGATTGATATGCTTAGCCTGAGCCCTAGAAAACACAGATACAAGGCACAAACCACCAGGCATTACAGACCTTCCCAGGCTCACATTCTGTCCCATCAGCCCAAGGTGTGTGTTGGGTTCGACATCCCTTGTGAGCACCATCAATGTTGATACACCACAGTCGCCGACACTGCATCTGCTTAAGTGATTGAAAAGATCAAAATATTAAATATGGGACACATGCCTTAACCAGATAGATGATCCTTTATGAAATTATCCCCCTAGGATTTATCATCAGCTCACAAGTTTGACAGTAAGTTGATGGCTTGTGAGCCTGCCATTCATTCAACCCCAGGAGCCCTTATTTTGCTCTGGCAAAACCAGGAAAAACAAGGTGTGAAATTTCACTTACCATATAGGGGCACACTTGAGATCCAGGTCCAAAAATTAACTCACATTGTTTGTTGACGTCATAAATCAGCCCTGGGAGCTGCTGAGGCAATGTGTAAGTTCTTGATGAAGGTTCATCAAGCAAACACTCCCCATAACCAGTGCTACAACACAAATCAGAAAAATGGTGTTAAACAGGAGGCAATGAGATTAGAACCCATTGGTGTTGGCCTGAATTAGTTTTAGGGCTGCTGCACACCATGTTTGCCATATGTAACAAGCACTATAAGAGCTACTGCAGACTCAAGCACAGGAGGGTATGTTAGTCATCCAGCACCACCTCTGTGCTGTGACAGCAACCATCCACCACAGTGGATGCAGTCAGCTACCCTGGCAAAAGCATTTCTGAGTGTACACAACCTGCATTTAGTTGCTGAGCAAACACTGGTACATGTTCATATAGAATTTAGAAAGAAAAATTGTTGCTTAGCAGAACTGCCCAAGGGACTGAGCTCCTGGATTTGCCAGAACACAACTGTGGCTCTCGTTCTGGTCTACATCACAACACATGGGAAGGCATCACAGCAAAAGGGATGATCCCTGTGCATCAAACTGACTCCCAGAATGGTGTTCCCACCATGGATTAGTGCCAGGGCTTTATCTTGACCTGTGGAGCAGAAAGGCAGATTCAATCTGCCTTCTAAAACGCAGCTCCATACCTGAGCCACAGGGCTTGGAAAAGTCACTCTTCAGGTTTGAGGAGAACACGCATTCCTTAAAAGCAATATCCATGGGGGAAGACTTATTCTTCCCCATTGAGAGGCTGGTCCTTGCCAGCTTATCATGAGGCTGAACTGGCAGGGGCTGGATGGCCATTCCTGCTCTATGTAAAGGATGTGTGCACACACAAATCCCTCTGATTTCCTCCAAGTGCTGCACACTAGGACTTCAGATTAACCGAAGAACTCCGTGGGATGCATGCACATGTCAAAACAGCCCAACACATGCATATGCAAGGCCTTACTCCAGAAATTCAGTGATGTATTTCCTACTGCATTTTGACCACATCCAGGGATTGGTGTAGAAGTTCAGTGTTGGTGCCATGACATGCTGTTGATTTTTACCTCCATCTTCCTTGCACTTATGATTGTCATCATGTGGCATGTTAAATCTAAGAGACAAAGAGCAGCAAAAAGTAGAGTCACGTAAGAAGCAAATGTCAAGTATTTAGCAGAGCAAGAGCAACAGTGTGAACTAAATGCAAGCAAACCCAAGAATTCTTCCTAGATATGCTGCTGACAGATATTACAGAATAAGTGTATTAATACACACATATTCATAAGTGTCAACAAGCATTGCTCAAATGGGGTTCCTAGCACTCGTCTGCAAAGAGCTGTGCAGCTCCCTGCTAAGCTCCCCACACCGTGACTGCATATATTCAGCCAGACAAGCCCTTGAGGGAGTCTAGAGTAAGATGCAATTCCAGCTGCAGTTTCCTTCTCAGCTGATGGTTATGATCTTGCAGGCAGGCTGGAGTTTGGCCCCACCTTCATAAAAATGGGAAATACCCTGGCACTGAGCCACAGATCCAAGAATGGATCTGAGGGAATTCTGAAGGAGATGAATGACTTGAGTCCACTGACCACCAGTGCCTGGAGACCCTTGTGCACACAGGCAATACCCTATGTTGGGTGTCAAACGTTTTTTAATGCAGTTGAACATCTTGGGCTACACTGTTGCCTAAACAGAGTTGCACCAAGGACAGACTTGGCTCCTATACTTATGTGGCAGGTCTAAAAAATGCCATCAAGCACCGATATCAGCAGAAACCAACGTGAGGTTTGCAGCACGTGACATCTTGAAAGAATGTGGTAAATACACTAATGGAGACCGAACGGCTTAAAGCACTGCACTGTTTGAAGTGGAGAAGGGGAAGTGACCTGGTGTGATCCTGCATTCAAAGGCTGGGGAGTTTATATTCCATTAAGATTACCTCCAACAAACCACCTTTTCACTCTGCTCTCTGTAAAAGAGCACAGAGTTGTTTCCTGCTTGGGAGCATTGCTAACCCCTCTGGCAGCTCTGGGGCAGCATTAGCGAAGGAATTAGCCACAGGTTAGGTATGGGGAATGCCAAACCTTTGGGGACTTTCTGTCAGGAAGTCTCATTTAAACAAATACCACTGTGGTTAAAAATAGAGTGTCTCAGTCAGTGTTCAGTGAAGAAAAACAGTTTATAACAATGAGAGATCTGTTCCCAAGCTATCATCCATCCCACACCTACAGACCTCCACCACAAACCAGGTGTGAGGCAGTTTTGGACTGAACCAGCTGCCTAAGAGTTGTAGCTGGGGGGTAAAGACTGTGTGATCTAAGATGATTTTTCTCACTACAGGTCTCAAAAAAGCCAAAATTGATTAAAAGAAATTTCGACTAGAGGAGGTGCATCTTGAATGACAGCATCATGAACGACAGCATCTCTTTTTTGGATGTCAGCAGCATGAGATTTTCCCTGGTGAAATAGTTCAGGAGGCCGGTCAGGCTCACTTATACATCCTCATCACCTCCCAGAAGCCCTGGGTAAATTCCTCCTTTGCACACAGCTGCTGTGCTGCCTTCAGCAGCACCACATGTGGCAGTGGGATGAGCTGTGGCAGGCTGAGGACTTGCTCTCAGTGGAGACTTCAGTCCCAAAAGATAGTCAAAATGTGCCTGTGTCCCTTGCCCTGGTCCTCCCCATGGCACCCAGCCCTTCCTAGCTCTGGCCAAAATCCTAGCTAGTCCCACTGGCTTGGCCAGGACATTTTATCTGCTGGGGCAGATTCTGCTGACATCCCCATGTAGATGTGAGAAGATGCAGTAATAAGGAACATTTTTGTTAACTCTTCTCTATTGTTTAGGTGCTGCTTGGGGTACCCTGTAATTCATCCTCCCCAAAACATTGCCTTGATGGTTTTGCTGCTCTCAGATAGGCTCCAGAGCACCTCACAGCTTCATCTTCCTTGGTGGTGCATCTTCTACCCAAGTATATTTATCTCCTCTCCAAATAACTAGGCTCAGCAGGTAGCAATTCCCAGCCTGGCTGGCAAGCCCTAGTTAGCATAAATCTTGGGCTATTTAAATGTAAATGTATTTACATAAAACATACACATGGCCAAGTTCATGTGCTATTGTGAAAGCTGTGCTCAGTCCATTATCTTCACTAATTGAACAGCTCCTGTATGGGTCACAGACTGTGCCCAGCTCTGCCAGACCTAAGAGACAGAAAAAGAAATGTCATCCACAGTTCAGCGCAGGCAACTAACACTGTCACTACAAAAAAAGTTATTAAAAGACAAAGAAAAGGTTTTCCTTACCCAGAGTATCACATTTGTCGTGCGCTCTACAAATATCCTGTCTGAAAGTAGAACAGACCTGACACATTAATTTTCAATGCAGCAGTGAGTTAAGGTACAAGCACAATAATAACAACATCCAAAAGCAAATCTTGGTCCTCCAACAGACCTTCCCATGCTGGTTTGCCACATCATCCAGTCAGAGTCCAATTTAACTTCCCACTATAGTCAGAGTTTTTCATCTTATGCTGAACCCATGGGCAGACCTTAGACAGTCCTGAACCTCTCCAAGTCATCTATTGCTATGGTGGACACATCATCCCAATTCTGCCTACAGTTACACTGCTCCCACAAGTGCAAGTGGCATTGCACCCACATCAAAGCCTGAACATTTCCCATAGCTGGATGTATTACATGCTCATAGCCTCACCTCACTTTTCATGAGACTATGCACCATACCTGGTAACAAGAACAGCTGTATCATGCTGAAGGTGACTTCCTTCAGGGTGGTTCTGGGATTGCTGCCATTGGCAGAAGTTTTTTAATGTTGTCTGGGCATTGTAAGATATTGCAGGACCATCCTAAAAGCAACACACAGAAAGAAGGTATTTTAATCATCCATCACAGTGCTCACTAAAAATCCCACTGTAAACAGAAGGGGAAGAAAATCACTTCCATTACCTGCTCATTATGTATCACGACCAATTTCACAATGACAATATTAATTAAATTTCCAATGCTTGGGTCTTTGTAGATGGAAGCCACCTGTTTCAAAAAGCATTATTTGGCATTATTTCTAACATTCATGGAAACAAACAATGAAGACAACAAACTTGTGTGTTCCACTCTGCAACTGTTTATCTCCTAAGTTACTCTTCTGCCCTGCTCAGTGCTCTGATGCTACCTGGAGGGACCTACTCCCAGAAGCACAATTTTGGAATGAAACAAACCTGCTGGGATCAGAGAAACCAAATATTTCCTTCTGCTTTAGCACACATTTCACCAAAATACAGGATCATTCTGCTCTGAGATACAAAGACCACCAACCAAGACTGTCAAAAGAACTTACTCTCTCAAGTGCCTAATTTTGACAAGGTCAGTTTTAGACCAAATGTTCACTGAACTTCTATCCTCAAACAGGATGAACATCTCTCCAGTGACAACTATGCTGGATATTCCCTTCCAGTCACTCTACATCTGCAGAGCTGCCTGTTTGGGGACTGCACTATTACATCCTAGTACCAGCAGCTACAAAAATGTTTGTCCTCAGCCTGGAAATCCAACCCCAGCATTATGCTAAAGATCAAGGTGACCACAGGCTCCTTCTCCTTGCAACAACTCAGGATGTCGGGCAACTGGATAACCTAGCAGCATCAGTGCCCTGGGAGGCACAGAGCCCAGAGTACACTTTTAATCCAGCTGCTCTTTCACATGGACTTAAACAAAAAGATGAGTACAGCGTGTGGACTAAAGAGCCAATGATATTTCTCATGGCATTCAGAAAGCTGGAAGGGAGAAGTATGGGAAGGGCTAGGAAACATGATGGGTTGGGAAAGAAGCTGACTCTAACAAGTGCTTCCCAGCTGAGTTCCACCAAGCTTTACTCTAATCCCAGCATTATCTCCATGCCTGGCTGAGGCAAACTGATGGAGCTGCATATGAATGCAGCAGAAAGGAGCTCTGCGACCACTAGAAAATGATCCATGGGTAAATCTACTCCCACCGAGTTAAATACTCACTATTGACATCAGCGTTAAGACATAGTGCTGTAGGTTAGCTCCATGGTAGGCAACCATCCTGCTGTCAGCCACCACCATCACCTCCACAAACCGAGGGTAGGAGAGGAACCGCTTCGTTCGCTTGTGGCTCTTCTTTTCACTCATGGCCGCAGTCTTGTTGCTATCCCCAGGAAAAGAATTCGCTTCCAGGCTGTGTTTCAACATCTCCACGTCAGATAATATGCTGCTTTCTGCCCACTGTCTTCTCCAGTGTTTCCGCTTGTTCTTTTTGTGACTGTGTTCATGATCTATGGTTAAACAGCAGGCAAAAACAAAGTACATACTGGAGTGAATAAAATTAATACCACATGTATGTTATGTCAAAATACCTGTTACTTCAACGAAGAGTTAGCAGGCTTGCTCCAAACGAGCAGCTAACCGAAACAGAAGCATTCTGTGGAAGCCCATGTAACCCAACATCTGAGGCTTAATTTTTAAAGTCATCTTGGGCAAGCCAGTCGTACTTAGAGGCAGTCAAGGCTTCCCTGCAGCAGAGCTGTCTCCTTGCCCATGCAGGAGGGATGGAGCCTGGTGATGGTAATTAGCCACCGCAGCGGCAGCGTGAGGATTCTGGGCACGTCCAAGGTGGCCAGGAAACCACAGGAAACAAAGGTCCAAACCTTGTATTTCTAACTCAGGCATGAAGGACGGCAGGATTTGGTCTTCATAGAGAAGCAATTATATATGATTTATTTCTGTCTCTAACAATAACACGGCTGGGCTTCAGTTCCCCCCCTCCCTTTATTATTCTGTGCTACAGGAATGGTAAAGGTCATCTGAAAGAATAGAATTCAGGAAGTTTCACATATACTGCTTTTGATATTCAATTAGGCCAAACATAAAAGCGGCCTGAAAATATACTCCATGCTGATACAAAGACGACAAAGTGAAGAGGGAGAACAGGCAAATAAAACATATGGAACATGTACAATTAAGATTTACCATCTGATTAGTATGTAATTATAGCATTATTTAAATGTAAGAGCAAAATCAGTCTTATTTGATGCCACTTAATTTTTAATCAGTTCATCATAGGAAGTAGCTAATTGAATGTGATTCATCCATGAGAGACTGTTCGTTTCTGTGCTTAATGTAAAGCCAGATCTGAACTACTCATCTACGACTCCAGGCTACTACCCTTATGCGCTTTGTAGCTTTAGTTTAATTTTGTCATGGTGGTGAAAAATATCACATTTCCTTATCTGACCCACTCAGTAGGTTAGAGGAAGCATAATATTAGGGAACAAAGGAATATTCAATGCTCAAACAAGATTGAAATGATGGGAAGCTTCTTAGTTATTTTTTTCACTGTAGTTTCCTTTTAGGAATATTTGTAATATTTTCAAAGAAAGAAATACATTCTCTAATATCAAGGCAGGCAAAAGGGATCACCCAGCTTCTAACTATCTGAAAAATACTACCCTTTTACTCTCTGTGTAAATAGGCAATGGAGTATTTAAGAATGAAATCCTGTTTACTCTGCACTACCTAAGTCTTATAAATTCTCCTTTCTCGATAAAGTCCAGACCACCTTAATACAGCAGAGAGTCCACAGTTATTTGAGTAAGAATTCGAGAAAGCCAATGGCATTTGTGGTTATAATTGGATTGCCCTAGTTCCTCTGCTCTAATCAATGCCCTTGTGTTGGCAAGGTTGTGCTCTCATGCTGGCACAGCTTCGTGGGCAGCCATGACATTATCCTGACTCATTCAGTGCCAATCAGCGTGGGAAGCCAACTATGCATACAAATAACTTAAAGGTGAGAAGACAGAAGATGACCAGACTGAGGAGGAAGTGCTAACCTCAGCCCTTCAGCCAGTTCTCCTCCTCTCTGTATCCTCTGCCAGCCACTTAAACTTCCCTTTTAAATAACTAACTTCCAAAAGAAGCAGGTGCTCAAGGAAAAATGTGTTAAGGTTGGGGAGGTGCTCAATAGGGTTCAAGCAATGCTGAAGGCAAGGCTGCAGTGTGAAGGCTGAGCTCTGCACCATCCACCACCATGGCTTCAGAGAACTCCAAATGGGATCATGAGGCTCAGGTGTCTTCTCCTCTAGCCTGCTTGGCAGAGGGAATTTAGATAGCAAAGGAAAACGGAAATGCAAAGGATTCTTTGAAGACATCTATTGTACAGGAGGTGTATAGAAGAAATTAATTGATATTCACCAGGACTGCTCTGAAATCCTACACCTGGTGTCACACACTAAAAAAACCAACAAACTCACCCAAACCCCAGAGAGGTCCACATGAAATGCCATGTCTGGTTCTGAGAACCCTGACCTGACCCATCACGCAGAAGAATCAGAGCCCAACACAGCCAGGTACACCCAGCACAGAGGAAAAACTACCTTCCTTTTTGTAGAAGAGGTCTGGCAGAGTCCCAGAATCACAGAATCATTTAGGTTGGAAAAGACCCTTAGGATCATCGAGTCCAACCATTAACCTAAAACTGCCAAGTGTCCGTACAGTATCAGTGTAGTTCCCCTGTCCAGGACACAAATCAAGTCAGACACATCAACCCTTCAAAAACAACGTATTTTTTCCCAGGCACGAAGTCACTCTGACACTTGCAGAAGGCTATTTGGACAGGTCATGCATCATGAGTTTGCCATCCTGGTTACTGGAAAACCAGGCACCAGTGATGGGGAAGCATTGTACATAAAGCCACTCCTGGACTTTGACAGTAGTGAACTGTTATCTTCACCCATCTTTCTTGCATATAACTACACTCAGAGATGGTGCACATTCACCTGTAAAAAATTAAACACTAATGGCTGTGCACTGCTCTCAACCTATCCATAAAACCCTCCCACGTTAATGGGGGCTGCACACAGGCACTGCCAGTACTCTGTGTGCCTGATTGTGTTGATATCCCACTCTGTTACGATGAGCACAACAGCAGTGCTGTGACTGAGCAATGCAACACGCTGCCCTCTCATCAGGCAGAAGTGAAAATATCTCACATTACGCAAGAAAACTCCAATTTTACAGCGACAGCTTCCTACTGCCACGCATAACACCAAAAAAAGGGTCTGATATTTTTCCATCTTGTTTTCCCTTTCTTTGTTTTTTTTTCCTATTGTGTTAACATATTAAGAGAAATCAGGAAGAAAAATGGTTTGCTTGGCAAGCACTCAATCTCTGCAATGACCTGAAAAACATCTACCTACACAAGGCAGTAATTGGATGGGTTTAGGCAACAAAACATTTTCTTTAATTTGCAGAAAAACCAAACCCCAATGAGTAGGCAAACACTTTAAAGCCATGCAAACTACAGCTCAATAATTCAAGTATCAAGTGAGCCCATGCACTGATTCAACAGTGCATATTCATTTTAGAGGTGGGTAAAGGTTGCTGGAATAACATCCATTTTACTGCTTGCTTTACTAAGACAATCTATGCTGTTTCTTCTGTCTTTAGACAGACCTGGAGGTGTACCTTAATTATTTTTTCTGCTTGGTTTCTTCTTTGTAATATGGGACCTACAAAGGAGACCCTTCCTTCCTGATGGCATCTTCCCACTCATGCCATTTATTTCTGCTTGCGCAAGAAGCCTCAGCCCAGAGCCCATTGAGCTGATTTATGGATGACTCCTGCTGGTTAATGCATTTTGGACCTACCCCAAAAAAGAGGGCAGGGAAGACTTGGGCTCTGCGTGAATACTTTGCCTGCATGAAAGGGTGACAGGGCAGAATCAGGCACTGCTTTTGAAATAGTAGCTATTGTTATACTGAAATCAAAAATCAAAAGAAAGAGCGATCACTTATCCCAACAGTTCTAATCCTTTTCATTTCTACAGTAACATGTCCTTGGAATAGAAAGCAATTTGGACAATTAAGTAAGACATGTAACAATTCAAGCAATTCCAGTTCAGCTCCAAGTTCATAAGAGCTGCAAATAGCAGGGGAAAAAATGTAAGAGAGAGAGAGAGTGAGAGGAGAAAAAAATAAATCTGTTTCTTGAGCTAACAACATTAACAACCTCTCCCTGCTAGAAAATGAGGGCAATCCTTTCAAACCAACTTATTATCATAACTTTTCTGAATGTGTGACCTAGGATTATTAACAACATTTGTTTCTCACCGGTTGGCCCACAACACTCCTAGACCTGCTCTGATCCAGCTGCACAGATGATAAAACTCTCATTTAGAAGTTAATTATTTATTGCACACCTCCATAAAGCAGATCAAAATTCAGCTGAGCTCCCTCTGGGCAGTCAGTCAGAGTATGACCCATCTCCCTCAACTCAAGCAGGGGCCCTAGCAGCAAACCCTGCCCAAACACTTTGGTACAAGCTCCAGCTACAGCTGGCTGGCTGGAATTTGGTGCTTGTAGCTGGCACAACAGCTGCTGCCAGAGTGAGTGCCATCACTTGGAAAACAGAGGTGAGAGGCAAAATGAATTTTCTTCATGCAGAGATCAGACTGGCTGAAATCAAACCACAATTTTTAGGCTCTTCTTGACAGTAAATGGGATGGAAACCAGCCCCTCTTCAGGACACAAGGAGGTTCTAAGCTGGAGCAAAGGATTTTTCTAGCCCTGGGTCTGTTTAAATTCTATATTGATATGTTTTATATCTCTATCTACCTTTCAGTGTATCTACAGATGTATCTTAGATGGATTTGCATCAGGCCAAATTCTCACACCTATTGCTGCAGGGGTGCTGTTGTGGCCAGCATAACCCAGAGCTGAACATGCCTTCTCTGCCAGGAGCTTCTCACTCTGCTCAGATGACAGCCAGGAATGGCAACTTAACAGGGGAGCAATCACTGCCTTTCTCTGTACCACCCTGAGATGACCAGTCCTATGAGCAGGACTAATTCTGTCTTCCCTCTGGATAGCTCCTTCACTGTGCAATCAGAGCTGCTGCTATAGCTGGAAAATGAAAACAGGTTTTATTGATAGAGGCAAAATCAATAACCAGCATTGGAAAGGAAATCAAGGATCTGGGCCAGCTGGGATCCAAAGAGAAGGATGTTCTGCACTAAGGGTGGAAATGAAAGTTTGCTCGATTTTTCTAATCTGCAAACCAGAAAGCATTCAACTGCAAATTAATCTGAACACACTCAACAGAGATCCTGGGGTTTCAACCTTCATTGGCAAGAGCTGCAGAGATCAAACTTTCATGGCTAGAACTACTGAAAATACAATAAAATATCAGCACTTTCACAAGTGTCACTATTACAGCAATACGAAGGAGGGAAGCTTTGATTTCCCCATGTTGTTCATAGTTCCCTTTGAATTAGGAAACA